ATATAAATCACTTTCAAAGAAAAGAACATATTTATTTGTATTTTCTTTTTTAATTTTTTATATATCGAACATTTAATAATAAATATTTCCTGTTATTTTCGAATATTTATTCACATTTCAACGCAAATAAGAAGATAAATGTTCGTTTATGTATTTTTAAGCCAAAATAACGATTATTGAGCTTTTATATTTATAAATATTTGCAGCAAAAAAATCGTATTTATTTTTACATATTTAACCTTACATTTTGTATAATGATCCTTTTGGAAAATTTGCCAATAAAGTAGTTAATAGATATCTCTGGCAGTTTACTATCTATCGGGTTTACCATGGACAGATTGACGGACTTGCCCATATTGATTTAGCATCTAATAAGACCCCATCTAAGTATCTAAAAATACCCCCATCTTTTATGATTGTGAGTCTAAAAATATGGTCTTCGTTTCATTTCGTCTTAGAAACTATCTTTACTACATCGATGGTTTTCGTCGGCTCCTTAGCATTTCTCTTAATAATTACTACTTACAAATATATTGTGCGACAATAGTTTCTAGTGGGTTACATAAATACACTTTGTATACATATATTGCATGCTTATGACGATATAACTGATTTTTTCCCAAACCCACACGCACAAATTGAACTTTAGAAATAAATGCTAATATCTCTATCTCTGATTCTATATTTTATTTATTTCTAACATTTAGTACAAATATTTATATGTGATGTAGGTTTTTTTTTGTTTTTATTGAAATGAAAACAGCAACATTTGAAAATAAATCAAATTAAATTGACTTGAAATTGATTTAAATGGTCAATAATGCTGCATGTTACGTTATTTTGCGTTAAAATGTTTGCTTATATTTTGAAAGCATTTAGTTAGTAGATACATCACTACATCTAGTAAGCAGAGTACTATGAGTTTTTAGTGCTATTTGTAACGCATACAGATATGCGTTATAAGACCCATTAGTCCAACCGACTACAAATTACTTTCTCAGTCGTCTTAAAGATGTCCGTCCGAGCGATTGTGGGTCCATGTAAACCTTGTTGACATAAAAATTTGTCAAAAATAACCTCTTGATAACACCATGGTTAGGTTAGGTTAGGATGATAGGAGGATGTATACTACATCAAATCCGAAGAAATACACCTAGGCCACTATCGGGCCTGTTGTGCGCTCCTTATCATGAAAAAAAAAAAATTAACTGAATGAATTATTTTTCAGTGTTCAGAAACTCAGTTTCCTGAACGTAATTCACTGTCCTCTCCATGCTCTACATTCGTCTGAATCCGCACGTCCAATTTTGCATAGATGTGCTCGTAATCCTGTGTGTCCACTCAGAATACATACCATCATACTAACTTCAGACTTGCTCATTTTGAGGAGATTTTTCGTCTTGCTCTCATCAGGGTACCCCTATAGGATCTTCGTGGTTCTACCCACTGTTTCATTATTCCAAGAGGCCTTATGGGATTCTCTCACCCATATTTTTAGTTCAGCTTTTGTTGCGTCGAATGGTTTTGCGTTTGTCAGGTTAACTGCCTCGATCTCCCTTCCCTTTAAAGCTATTACATTCGCCCTTTCGTTGCCGACTACTCCCGAGTGGCCTGGTACCCATATGATTTAAACCTTACCTCTGGGAGAGTATTCAGTTAAAGCTTTCTTATAGTCCAATACGGTCTTAGATTTAGTTCTATCACCTGATAGCGCCCTAATTGCCTTCTGGCTGTCGGTAAATATATTATGATAACACCATACTTTTAAAATTTTAGTGTTGAGATAAATTTTTTCCTTTTTGTATTCATTGGACCATAATTAGACATAGATTTCATTTAAGACTTACATATTTCAAAATTTTACTTAAGATCTGAGTAGGTAATCCCATAGTCGCTATTGATATAATCTATTTTGTTTTATAACCTCCACCACCATCAGTGGTGATAGAGGGTTTGTCATTCCATGTGTAACACCAAAAAATATTCATCTGAGACCCAAAAAAGTATATATATTCTGGGTCCTTAGCAAATTCTACGTCGATTTAGCCATGTCCGTCCGTCTGTCTGTCTGCCTAAAACACGCTCACGCTAAAACTAAGCAAACGAAATAAACCAAAATCACCAATATTCTTGCTGAAAATCAGCAAAATCGGTTCACAATGTTAAAAGTTATGAGTAAAAATTTCCGACTACCTCAAAAAAAAATTACTTTTTTCGTAATTCTTAAGACGTTTTCTCCGAAACTACAAAAGATAATTCGATGAATTTTGTCACACGATACTTTTTTACTCAGGGATCAATTATGTTGAAAATCAAAACAATCGATCCAAAATTTTCTATAGCCCCCATACTAAGGTACATATTTCCGGAAATGGATTTATCGTTAATAACTTAATAACAAAAATATCGGTATCAACTCAAAATTTTGCACATATAAATATAATATTAACAGAAATCATACTACCAACATAGATCTCAGTTGGTCCACAATTGGTCATAGCTACCATATAAAACCACTTCCGAAAATCACTTAAACGCGCATTTTTCACTGATTAATAAAGCTATCGTGGTAAATGAATATGTTTAGTGTATATATAAATCACTCTACGAAATTCTTTCCGAATCGGTCCATAATTGGTCATAGCTCCCACATAAGGTCCACTTCCGAAAATCACTTAAACGCTTGTATTTCATTAACTAATGAAGCTAACGGTGTAAAATTCGACATGAATATGTTTTGTGTATATATAAATCAATCTTCGAAATTTTTTCCGAATCAGTCTATAATTGGTCATAGCTCCCATATAAGGTCCACTTCCGAAAATCACTTAAACGCGAGTATTTCATTAACTAATGAAGCTATCGTGGTAAAATTCGACATGAATATGTTTTGTGTATATATAAATCAATTTTCGAAATTTTTTCCGAATCAGTCCATAATTGGTCATAGCTCCCATATAAGGTCCACTTCCGAAAATCACTTAAACGCGCGTATTTCATTGATTTATAAAGCTATCGAGATAAAATTTGGCTCGAATATGTTGTGTATATGTATCAATTACTCTACGAACTTTTTTCTGGATAGACCCTTAATTGGTCATAGCTCCCATATAAGGTCCACTTTCGAAAATAACTTAAACGCATATAATGTATTAACTAATAAAGCTATCGGGGTAAAATTCAACGTAAATAAGTTTTGTATATACATATATAAATCATTATGCGAAATTTTTCCCGGATCGGTCCATAAATAGTCATAGCTCCCATATAAGGTTCACTTCTGATAATCACTTAATATCACATAATTCATTAATCCTGATAAAATTCGACATGAGCATATTCCGTATATAGATAAATCATTCTAATAAAATGTTTTCCAATTGATCCGTTATAGATCATACCTCCCATATAAGGACAACAACATCGTTTAAAAAACCCATATCCGAAAATCACTTAAAATACATTTTTTCGATCTCATCAAAATAAGTTCCATATATTCACAAAGAAATTTCTAAATGATAGTACCCTCACCACGGAAACAAAACATATGCCGAGTTTTCTAAAAACTAGATAGTTAAATGGGTTTTAATAAAAAATATCTTGCTGGTGGAGGGTATTTACGATTCGGCGTAGCCGAATATAGCACTCTAACTTGTTATTTTTTCAAACAACTTTTAATAGACATAAATGTATGTCCATTTAGTATGTTTATAGTAGATAAAAGGATACACATCCATAAATAAAATAACAGTTTGTGACGGGACAATCACTGGGTGGTGAAAGATTTTATATATATTTATGTATGTATTTAGTTTTTTTAGTAGAAAATTGGATTTGATAACAACTTGCACAATGTGATGGGATGTAAAAAGAATAAATGTTTACTGCTTGAATTAAATGGAAAATATAGTATCTTATTACCTAAATTATAAAGTTAAACAATTAAGAATGCAAGGCTGACCATATGATACCCTACACAAGTAAATATGGGCCTATCCTTATAGATTTTGGTAGAGAAATTTACGTGATTTGTGCAGAATTTCATCGTGATATTATTATTAATAAGTGAATTTTGATCTTCAATTCATTTCCTGGAGAGGACTTTGTATGGAAGCTATGGTCAAATATGGACCGATCACATCGAAAAAACACAAACGGATGGACGGATGGACGGACGGAAAGACGGACATAGCTTAATCGACTCTGAAATTGATTCTGAGCCTATAGGTATACTTTAAGGTTGGTGTAGGACCAATATTTTTGGGTGTTACAAACATCAGCACAACCGCATAATACCCTCCACACTATAAGAGTATTATATTCGGCTATAACGATCGTATATACACACACTATCAAAGCATGTGTCATGCTAAAGCTGTGGTGTTATAAAAAGGGCAGCGGATTAACGAACTTAGATTTGGTTCAAAAGGCAGCTACTCCCTGAGCAGTTTACTGGGTGAAGTTAAATTGCTGATACCATTGTCATCGAAGAATTCCTTACTGTATATTACTTACTGCTTCCAAATTAAAGCTCCCGGATCCAATAACCAATCCTTTGTTATTGGTTATTGAATCCGTATATTTTAGTTTTATTTCTGATAGCTTCTCTATAACTTTGCCGAATCCTATCAAATAATTCGCTCTATCAAAAGGATTTCATTTCTGGTAGAAAGTTTAATCTTTAAATAAATTTTATAGACATTATCATTTCACAAATTATCAATTTAGAATTTGTTTATGTTGTTGTTATTGTTCTGTTAACAACAATCGCCATAAATACAACAAAAACAGATGACGTCTTATAATATAAAATTTCATTGTTTTTATTTAATTTAATAAATACCTTTTATACACGCACTAACCAATACTAATACAATCCAATAAGTATTTATATAAAATTTTTTTTCATACAAAAAAGTAAATGATTTTTTTTTCTTATTTTTCCTTACATTTTCTCTATGTTTTTCTTTCTTATCCCTTTTGAAATGAAAATAATTGTAGAACATTGTTATGTATCCGAATCCAAATTTATATACGTGTACGGCACGAATATGGCTGAGAGAAATTGGATTTTCCTTAACATATGGAGCTTTAATGCTGAAAAACATGGCGGTAAGTAAATAGTGGGTACTAGTGGAAAATTGTTTTGTTTTCTTTTTTGCAAAAAATGTAAATGTAACTGGACTTGTGTGAGATGTACTGAGATGGCTGATATTAAGTGAGAAGTTCTATAATAGAACCCATAACAAAGTAGTTAGTTAGGTTAGTTAGTAGTTAGTTAGGTAGTAGTTAGGTTAGTAGTAGTTGTTAGTTAGTTAGTTAGTTAGTTAGTTAGTTAGTTAGTTAGTTAGTTAGTTAGTTAGTTAGTTAGTTAGTTAGTTTAGTTAGTTAGTTAGTTAGTTAGTTAGTTAGTTAGTTAGTTAGTTAGTTAGTTAGTTAGTTAGTTAGTTAGTAGTTAGTTAGTTATAGTTAGTTAGTTAGTAGTAGTTAGTTAGTTAGTAGTTAGTTAGTTAGTTAGTTAGTAGTTAGTAGTTAGTTTAGTTAGTTAGTTAGTAGTTAGTTAGTTAGTTAGTTTAGTTAGTAGTTAGTTAGTTAGTTAGTAGTTAGTTTAGTTAGTTAGTTAGTAGTTAGTTAGTAGTTAGTAGTAGTTAGTTAGAGTTAGTTAGTTAGTTAGTTAGTTAGTAGTTAGTTAGTTAGTTAGTTAGTTAGTTAGTTAGTTAGTTAGTTAGTTAGTTAGTTAGTTAGTTAGTAGTTAGTTAGTAGTTAGTTAGTTAGTTAGTTAGTTAGTTAGTTAGTTAGTTAGTTAGTTAGTTAGTTAGTTAGTTAGTTAGTTAGTAGTTAGTTAGTTAGTTAGTTAGTTAGTTAGTTAGTTAGTAGTTAGTTAGTTAGTTAGTTAGTTAGTTAGTTAGTAGTTAGTTAGTTAGTTAGTTAGTTAGTAGTAGTTAGTTAGTTAGTTAGTTAGTTAGTTAGTTAGTTGTAGTTAGTTAGTTAGTTAGTTAGTTAGTTAGTTAGTTAGTTAGTTAGTTAGTTAGTTAGTTAGTTAGTTAGTTAGTTAGTTAGTTAGTTAGTTAGTTAGTAGTTAGTTAGTTAGTTAGTTAGTTAGTTAGTTAGTAGTAGTTAGTAGTTAGTTAGTAGTTAGTGTTAGTTAGTTAGTTAGTTAGTTAGTTGTGAGTTAGTTAGTTAGTTAGTTAGTTAGTTAGTTAGTAGTTAGTTAGGTAGTTAGTTAGTTAGTTAGTTAGTTAGTAGTTAGTTAGTTAGTTAGTTAGTTAGTTAGTAGTTAGTTAGTTAGTTAGTTAGTTAGTTAGTTAGTTAGTTAGTTAGTTGTAGTTAGTTTTAGTTAGTTAGTTAGTTAGTTAGTTAGTTAGTTAGTAGTTAGTTAGTTAGTTAGTTAGTTAGTTAGTGTTAGTTCGTTGTTAGTTAGTTCGTTTAGTTTTAGTTCGTTGTTTATGTTTTTTATTTCGTTTCATTTTTTCGTTGTTGTTCATTTCTTTCGTTCTTTATTTTAGTTAGTTCGTTGTTCAGTTGTTTCTTTCGTTGTAGTTTTATTTATTTAGTTGTAGTTTTAGTTAGTTAGTTAGTTAGTTTTCGTTTTTCGTGTCGCGTTTGTAGTTTTAGTTAGGTTAGTTAGTTAGTTAGTTCAGTTAGTTAGTTAGTTAGTTAGTTAGGTAGTAGTTAGTTAGTTAGGTAGTTAGTTAGTTAGCCTGGCGGAAATCGAACCTACGACTATCGGTCTGACCGACTACAGCACTATGTATGAACGTACTGCAGTCCAACAAGAGAAAAAAGCTGTCAGACTCCAATTTTTTTATAAGAAACCAATACATTAATACATTTCCTTCAGGTAGAAGGACATCTACATTTTAATAAATTTAAAAAAATAAGAAACGCTTTCATTATATTGACACTCACAGTATTTATTTTCTTGTTATTTTTTCCACATTTTCCAATACATATTATTTGTTTTATTTGCAGGATATCAGTAATATTTCGTGTACGTTCAGCAAAAGCTGTTAAAATAACAGATGCTGCATTACTTAAACGTCTGGGTTGTATTTGTGGCGCCATCGGCACTTGTTTATTGGTGCGCACATTGGTTTCACCGCCCGATGTGGTCGTTGGTCGTACAGCTGATGATTTGAAGGCATTTTTATGTAAAACCGACTGGTGGGATTATACTTTTACATCAAGTAAGTTTTATAGTAATCGAAAATATAATTTTAAAAGAAAACTATAAAAAGAGCAAGAAAACTTCATATAGGTGATTCCATAAGAAATGGATCGTAAATCATTTCAAAGTAATCATGAGAGTTTTCTTTAACTTTTGCTAAAGATCTTGGTGTGAAAAACACCATGGTGTGAAAAACACCATTACTGTTTAATCAATGCTGTAGGAGTAAAAGATGGAAACCACTTTAATAAAATGAAATTTTAAATACATACTTTTCATGCTGCAATAAATATGTTTTCGTTCTTGTATATTGATTAAGAAAAAATAACATGTTTTACATGTAATGAAATTGTGATATTTGTGCCAATTGCTATTATAGTTTTGCAAAAAATATATATTTTACCGCAATTTAACGATCGAAAATTATTTATTATGAAATTAATATTGGGTGATTTTTTCATCCCAATTAAAAAATTACTTAACTGAGCAAATCATTCGTGGATTGCTGACCTTATGTAACAAATAATATGAAGAAAGTTGGCCACCTAGGCTGGAGTTCTTGCTGGCTTATATTATAACATAAAGTTCTTACTTCATGTGGCTCTACAGGAGGCTTTAATTCCTGCAGCAGCTAGATATTGTCAGAATATAGGCCATGGCCTTTCAGTAAAATGATCCACATACAGGATGGCCAGAACTCATATTCCTACGGCTGATAATGTATCGATTAATTTGGATCACAATTTAATTTACAGCGGTGTTATTCTCTTTAGTACGTTCATTGTTTGAACTTGTTCGTATTATTGCATCACTGAGAGAGTATATAAGTTGCATGAATCGAATACTTTTCAAATCAGTAAATTTGAATATTTTGGTAGCTTTGATGAAGCTTCAATCTATGCATGATGATTTTCGAGAGTATGTATACTGATCATAAATGTCAAAGAGTGGGCACAGTAATATCTGTCTATTACCTCAACATACTATTCTGTCTATTAAAGATATGATATGTTAAAGAAGTTATCTCAAGAAACCTAACTTCAGAATAGCTCACTTGGTTCCATTTTCATTTTCTGACGGGGTCTTTGTATGAGGCCTAGGATCAAGTGAGACCCTATCATTACAAAGTTCGGCAGGTTCATCGTCACAAGTATAAACCTTAATAAACATAATTATGAGCTCAAAAGCCCTATTGGGGAGGTTGAGTTGTATGGGGCTATGTGAAATAACGGATCGATTTTAACCATTTCCAACTTCAAATTTTATTGAATTAGCTTCACAATTGCGTTTGTAGTTTGATTACAAGGTTTACATGAACAGACATAGCTAAATCGACTCAGAAAATGATTCTAAGCCGATTAATATACTTTAAGGAGAGTTCAAATTTATACTCTACATTACTATAAATGTATAAATGTGGATGTCGCCCAAATTACTTTCTAACAGATTGGTTAGAGTGTCCGCCTAACAGACTCTTTCCGTCTTAGTTCATGGCTGCAACTTCTACGGAAATTGTTGCAGGGAATCTTGATGAAAGACCCCATCTTGGTGTGATTGCAATCCCTAGTCTACCAGGACTATAAACTGGTGATGATCAAATGTATACTTGGCCTTTTTTAGAATGATTTGACATGGGATCGAACAAGAGAACCACATAATCTGGTATCACAAAAACCCTTAGCCTGCAGGGCAGAGTTTCGGACTTTGTCTTGTCCAGGTTATTGGATAGGTCCCTTAGAGGTGTACGTGGTGGATGTGGGAAGAGAATGTCGTTTAATAGACTTATGCACGGTGAAATCTATAATTCTGGATAAGTTCGATGCTGTTGCCGAAGTCAACAGATACCCCATAGTGGAGTGACTGTGGGATTAAGCGGAAATGAGTTGATATTAAGTGTTTATGATACAGGATGAATGTAGGTGTATACGGATATCACCCGCCACGTAGATTGAATGAGAAGTGTTCTAGCTAGAATAGTGATGGATGAAAGGAATCTTATAAAAGTAATACCATCGGATTTTCCTTCCTTGTCCAGGTATGTTCCGGGAAAACTCTGTTCATACCAGATTTACCACAGCGTGTTCTCTCTGAGTAAGAATTAAGTCATCGGCTTATTTGATGGATTCGTATTTCGAACTAACGAATACGTCTCTAGGTGCTGTTGCCGACTCAACAAAGGCCATCCATTTTCGTGGTTGTAAATGGTAGTGATGTTTTTTGCATCTCGAAAGTTAAACAACGGCGCAGCAATGGTCAGATATTAGATAGCTCGAGAATTTGAGCAAAGTGCTTGTACATGGACCGGCAGAACCATGTAGAAAAATTGCAACCCACGTATAAGATATACAAAGCGTCAGTGAAAACGACTACGGTGAAATAGGCCAATACGGCATGTGTTCACGTAAAGCACTTCCAGACTTCAGCAGGTTCTCTAAAAGCAGGCACATATTATCAGTGTATCAAGAACAGAGGCTGATGGATTTGGAATTTTTTGGAGCTTAACAGGACAAACATAGCTCAAAAACAGTCAATATATGCTTTTTTAGATTATTGCAGACTATTCTGACTATACTCTCAGTCACTTCCACCTGTAGATACAAACAGTAACTGATAACATACAGGTTTAACTATGCACATCCTCTTTTTGGAAAACCCTCTTATAAGTGCAACAAAAACATTCTTTAAAATGATAAATTACATTTTTTCAAACTAAATATTATTTAAACAACATTATCTTCAACTCCTGTTTAACTTCATGACACACAAAGTTTTTTTTCACGGCGAAGGACCTGGTTTCTTTTTCAAAAGTATTAAATGACAAGACAAAATTTTCAAAGAAATAAACGAAAAAACCTTAAGTTACCATACGCATACTGCCGCAACACGTCGAAACTTACTTAAACATTCTTATTTTACAAGTAAACGAATTAACAGCACGAGCTGTAGTTGTAACTGTAAGCACAGCGGTTGGTACTCAAAGAATACCTCAAGGATTCCACTACAACAGATCTAAAAGATGAAGACGATGATGCTTATGGTATTGTTGCAGGTTATTCTGTTGGTGTTGGCTGTGGATTTTATATAGACAAAAAAAATTAAACAAAAAGCATATATTCCTCAAAATGACTTAAATTTTGCACCAAAACTATTTAACAATTTTTTTCGGAACAGGCCACTTGATACCGAAATTAAGATTAAATTTAAAAATTTTTCATATTTATGTTTTTATGTAATAAGTACGCAATGTGTTAAATTTCTAATAATATACTTTTAATTTTCAGTGGAAGTTGTCTTTCTGGCTTGGGGCGTAAGACTGTGTATAATGGTGCGTAAAGCTCCCTCTGAATTCAATGAAAGTCGCTTCATTTCGATGGCCATTTACAATGAATTTTTGCTGACGTGTTTTTTAAATGTTTCTATGTAAGTTTCCTGTATAAAAAATTTTAAATTTTGTTTTAAAGTTAAACAATAAATATTCAACCAAATAATTTCCTTTCACCTCATATTTAATAATGTCTGTTGTTGTTTATTTTCAGGCTTTTTCTACAATCTCCAGCTAATCCCGATTTATTGTATATAATATTTTTCTGTCATACTCAATTAACGATTACATTATTGTTGGCTTTAATATTTGGCAGCAAGGTGAGCTTTTTTTTTGTTCATACTTTTAGTAGAACATGTTAAATACAATGTAATTCTTTTGTTTTTATTCTTTCGAAAATTGTTTTCTCCGGTTGGTTGGCTCTTGTATTTTCATTCGTTGTTTATAAATATTTATCATGATGATAAAAATAACAATTGAAATAGAGTTAAGCTTATGCTTTTGACGGTAAATGAAATCTAAAAGCATGGCAAATATGTATTTAAATTACTATGTTGGCAAGGATTCAACTTTCGTGGAAATCATAATATTGTTTAAACTTGTATAGGAGGTTTATATTAACCACAAGTTATGGATAAATAAATCTTTGCTCTTGTGTCTTCATGTTGAGGTTTAAGGAATGCTAAATATAGCTTTAATACACAATGCCCTCAGATTTTTTCTTTCATGTTTCTTTCATAAGATTAAGACGAGTAAATAAAATTCTATATAATATTTCCTGAAAACAATCCAAACCACCTAAGGCTGGGTCAAACAACATGTTTACGGTAGTTTAAGAAATTTCAACATTTTCAAGGTTTAAATTCATTCAAACAATCATGTCCGTCAGCCCGACTGGTTTATATGCCCAAACCTCCTCAATGAAATATTGGTTCATAGACTTGTCCATAGACTATTCCTTAGACTAGCCAATAGATAAGTTCACAGACTGGTCTTTAGCATAGTCAATGGGTCTAGGGCTAGACCCTACACTTTCCTATTAAATATTGTTTAAACTTTTAAACATTTCAGTCCACAGAATCCTTCATAGACTAGTCCATAGACTTCTCTTTAGACCAATCAATAAACTATCACATAGGCTAGTTAATAGAATAGCGCGTGGGCTAGTACATAAACAAGTACATAGAATGGTTCAATAGGGTAGAATGTAGGGTAATCCATAGTCCACAAGATTATAATAGTACTAGTAGTAGACTAGTTTATAGACTGTTATAAAAAGAGAAGTTCTTAAACTAGTCAACAAAATAGACTAATTTTCAATATAATAGAATAATTTTGGCTAGCCTATATACTAGTATACGGACTTGTCTATAAACCAATCTGTGGACTAGTTCAGCGACCATCTTATGTAATACTCCAGGGCCAGTCTTTTGACTAGACTATGGACTAGTTTAATGAATAGTCTCTGTGCTAGTCTTCTAACTAGCTCCGTTCTAGTTCAGTTCTAGTTCAGTTCTAGTTCAGTTCAAGTTCAGTTCTAGTTCAGTTGTAGTTCAGTTGTAGTTCAGTTCTAGTTCAGTTCTAGTTCAGTTCTAGTTCAGTTCTAGTTCAGTTCTAGTTCAGTTCTAGTTCAGTTCTAGTTCAGTTCTAGTTCAGTTCTAGTTCAGTTCTAGTTCAGTTCTAGTTCAGTTCTAGTTCAGTTCTAGTTCAGTTCTAGTTCAGTTCTAGTTCAGTTCTAGTTCAGTTCTAGTTCAGTTCTAGTTCAGTTCTAGTTCAGTTCTAGTTCAGTTCTAGTTCAGTTCTAGTTCAGTTCTAGTTCAGTTCTAGTTCAGTTCTAGTTCAGTTCTAGTTCAGTTCTAGTTCAGTTCTAGTTCAGTTCTAGTTCAGTTCTAGTTCAGTTCTAGTTCAGTTCTAGTTCAGTTCTAGTTCAGTTCTAGTTCAGTTCTAGTTCAGTTCTAGTTCAGTTCTAGTTCAGTTCTAGTTCAGTTCTAGTTCAGTTCTAGTTCAGTTCTAGTTCAGTTCTAGTTCAGTTCTAGTTCAGTTCTAGTTCAGTTCTAGTTCAGTTCTAGTTCAGTTCTAGTTCAGTTCTAGTTCAGTTCTAGTTCAGTTCTAGTTCAGTTCTAGTTCAGTTCTAGTTCAGTTCTAGTTCAGTTCTAGTTCAGTTCTAGTTCAGTTCTAGTTCAGTTCTAGTTCAGTTCTAGTTCAGTTCTAGTTCAGTTCTAGTTCAGTTCTAGTTCAGTTCTAGTTCAGTTCTAGTTCAGTTCTAGTTCAGTTCTAGTTCAGTTCTAGTTCAGTTCTAGTTCAGTTCTAGTTCAGTTCTAGTTCAGTTCTAGTTCAGTTCTAGTTCAGTTCTAGTTCAGTTCTAGTTCTAGTCAGTTCTAGTTCAGTTCTAGTTCAGTTCTAGTTCAGTTCTAGTTCAGTTCTAGTTCAGTTCTAGTTCAGTTCTAGTTCAGTTCTAGTTCAGTTCTAGTTCAGTTCTAGTTCAGTTCTAGTTCAGTTCTAGTTCAGTTCTAGTTCAGTTCTAGTTCAGTTCTAGTTCAGTTCTAGTTCAGTTCTAGTTCAGTTCTAGTTCAGTTCTAGTTCAGTTCTAGTTCTAGTTCAGTTCTAGTTCAGTTCTAGTTCAGTTCTAGTTCAGTTCTAGTTCAGTTCTAGTTCAGTTCTAGTTCAGTTCTAGTTCAGTTCTAGTTCAGTTCTAGTTCAGTTCTAGTTCAGTTCTAGTTCAGTTCTAGTTCAGTTCTAGTTCAGTTCTAGTTTCAGTTCTAGTTCAGTTCTAGTTCAGTTCTAGTTCAGTTCTAGTTCAGTTCTAGTTCAGTTCTAGTTCAGTTCTAGTTCAGTTCTAGTTCAGTTCTAGTTCAGTTCTAGTTCAGTTCTAGTTCAGTTCTAGTTCAGTTCTAGTTCAGTTCTAGTTCAGTTCTAGTTCAGTTCTAGTTCAGTTCTAGTTCAGTTCTAGTTCAGTTCTAGTTCAGTTCTAGTTCAGTTCTAGTTCAGTTCTAGTTCAGTTCTAGTTCAGTTCTAGTTCAGTTCTAGTTCAGTTCTAGTTCAGTTCTAGTTCAGTTCTAGTTCAGTTCTAGTTCAGTTCTAGTTCAGTTCTAGTTCAGTTCTAGTTCGGTTTGAGTTCTAGTTCATTTCCAAATCAGTTCTTAATCAGTTCTAGTTCAGTCTAGAAACTTGTCTATTAACCAGTCTGTGGACCTATCTATTGCTAAGTTTATGAACCAGTCTATGAACTGGTCTATTGACTATTCCGGTGTAAGGTCATGAGGTTATCATGTGGAAACAAGTTCTTATTTATTAAAGTTTAAGAGTCATTGAGCGTCCTCTTACAAAAAAAAATTAATATTTTACTTCCAAAAAATTATTTGAATAAAATCCATTTTCGAGTAAAGCATTAAGTAATTTTGTTTGTGTTAATTGTGCAATGTATTGAAATTTTTTATTAATAATCTTTATTTATTAATAAACTCTTCTACAGGTTTATATTGTTTTGCGTAGTGGTAAATCACATCAGGAGAATATTGGCATGGGTGCTAAGTCTTCCGGTGCCAAATTTAATTTTCGTCCTCAAGTGCGTACTTTTGCTAATCCCAGTTCAGTGACAACATCAACCGTACCGGTAGCGGCCACAACATCGGCGGGTAAGTTTTTATTAAATACAATACCATCTCCAAAAAAAAAAATAAAAATAAAATATGTATGTATGTATGTATGTATGTATGAAAAAAACAAGTATTTTTTTAGGTAAAACCAGAAAAAAATGTTTGTAATCTTTAGTTAAATATCAGCATCGTTGTTATGGTTTTTATTTTCCAATATATTGTTTACTATTTTTTATATTATGTACTGTGTGCCATGACAACAAGCTGCTGGAAAAATCTATATTTAGAATTTTTTAAAATAATTTTACCACCAAATACGAGTACATACATACATACATACTTTATTTTTAAAGAAATATGTATTATATTACGTGTGTTTGGCTAATATTTTTAGTTGATTTATTGTTTTCATGACTTATATTTGATATGTATTTTATAATATTTACTAGAAATTTGAGCGAACAAACCTATTATTTTTATAATATATCATTCGTTGTTGAAATTTTAAGTACATAAGTATCTAAGTGAATTTCCTAATTCCTTTATTATTATGACTTTTGTATGTGTTTTGTTGTAAAAATGAGTGTCTTTAATGCACTATAGAACTAAAATATATAAATTTTATAATTGAAAGCTTTACCAGGTCAAAAGATTATATATTGTTCTTTTCAAATTTTAAGTATTAATATTTTAAAGAACCAAAAACTTGTTGCAACTTTGTGTAATTGCAATCCCAAGGTAAAGAATGTGTCAGGTTAACCGGGAACTTTAACTAGAGAAATTTCAACTAGCGGCTGACCATAGTTCTAAGGGAACAATACGACAGCTGTACTTGTCCCACACTGGTCATTGATAAAGTCCCTACGTGAAGCATTTAGAGGTTGTATGTAGTTTAAAGCCTAATCGCCGGAAGATAATTTATGGGAATGAATTTTTAGATGTCGGGGAATTAATTGAATAACAATAGAATATTACCATGTTGAAGTCTGTTATTATGGTTCGAAAAACGAATCCTGATGTAGGTGCTATTGTTGAAACAATAGACGTCATCCCATTGATGTGTTATGTGTGTCTTTGAGTGCCTTTTTACCTTAGTGAAACAAACTCACCTTGATATCATTGCACCGGGACTAGAAACAGGGGAAGACAATTAACAGGCTTATTGGCCATTTAACTGTTACTATGGGGGTAAATCTCCATCTTTGTCCCGTTTTACTATGTGTATACCTGACATTTACAGTTTGTAAGAAAGCGATGTCTTGGTTTATTAATGGAGGTCATACGTCGGATTTACCAAATACGTTTCTAGGTCGCTTACCGAGAAAAGATTTCGTTGAGGTTTGACGATTGCGGAACACTCCTCGAACACAGCTCGAGCACCGCAACAAAGAGGATGTCGCTGTACAAAATTCCAAACCTAATAGAGTAGTTTGTGATCTTTTCCTAGTACTCATGTAAAGAACTTGGTTTTTAGGTTCCCCGGGGTAAGTTACCTTGGTGAACCTCTCTTTATTACAATAGAGGATAATGGATGTTGTACCAGTACCCATAGTCTAACGGGATAAGAATCTGAAGGGGTTTTTTGATTCGCAGTTTCACCAGAAACCCTATCCGTTTGGGTTCTACAGGTCCCAATTGACGCTTCGGGGAATAGTCAAAGATAAGTTTTTGGTGCTGTAGCCGAATAAACAGGACCCCACAGAAGAGTAACATCGTGGACTATATGTTGGGAATCAAGGACTCTTGTCACCTAAACTTATACCCTTATAAATGTTTTCATGAATGTCTTGAATGAAAAGACAATCTGTCCTTGTATTATAGATAAAGAACCCTTCTTCGTGCCAGTATGTTTTGGGGTTTACTCTGTTCATACCTGGCATATCTGGCTTATTAATGAATATCGTTTTTTGGTTTACCAAATACTTCTCTAGATGATGTTGCCGAATCAAAAGTGCCATCCTATCAGTAAAGTTATGTGTATGTTGTCGGTAAACTATTCAGCTATGGTTTGGATGTTGGCGGTTATTTCGAAATCGGACTGCAATGAGAGGTTATAAAGCTCATATACTTGAGCCAAGGGATTGTACATTGACCATCGTCAGCCATGTATGAAAATTGTCACCCTACCATACCCTACCATGTCACGGTACCATAAAAGATCATGTGCCAAATTTCATTGAATTATCTCCAAAATTGCGACCTGTAGTTTGATTACAAGTTTTAAAAGCCCTATTCGGGGGTTCAGTTGTATGGGGGCTAGGTGAAATAATGGACAGATGTTAACCATTTTTAATAGACTTCGTCTACGATACCATAAAAGATCATGTGCCAAATTTCATTGAATTATCTCCAAAATTGCGACCTGTAGTTTGATTACAAATTTTAAAAGCCCTATTCGAGGGGTTCAGTTGTATGGGGGCTAGGTGAAATAATGGACCGATGTAAACCATTTTCAATAGGCTTCATCTACGGTATCATAAAAGATCATGTGCCAAATTTCATTGAATTATCTCCAAAATTGCGACCTGTAGATTGATTACAAGTTTTAAAAGCCCTATTCGGGGGTTCAGTTGTATGGAGGCTAGGTGAAATAATGGACCGATGTTAACCATTTTCAATAGGCTTCGTCCCTGGGACAATAGAAGATCATGTACCAAATTTCATTGAATTATCTTCAAAATTACGACCTGTAGTTTGATTACAAAGATTACAAGCCCTATTGGGGGGTTCAGTTGTATGGGGGCTAGGTGAAATAATGGACCGATCTTAACCATTTTCAATAGGCTTCGTCCCTGGGACAATAGAAGATCATGTACAAAATTTCATTGAATTATCTTCAAAATTGCGACCTGTAGTTTGATTACAAGGTTTACATGGACGGACGGACGGACGGACATAGCTAAATCGATTCAGAAAATGATTCTGAGACGATTGGTATACTTTAAGGTGGGTATAGGACCAATATTATTGTGCGTTACAAACATCAGCACAAACCCAATATGCCCTCAGCTCATCAAGGACGAGCATCATGTCTGGTGTAGTTTTCAAGCCATAGTGCCAAGTCATCATTATTGTTGTCTGTTTTTGTGTGTGTGTGTCCCCTTTTTTGTGAAAAATTTAAGCTTTTTTACAGTAAATAATACACTTATGACCATTTCTTTTTGTTTAGTACTGGTTTAAATCTTATTTTCCCCGGTTTACATTTCACCCCTACAAACAAACACAAGTACTTTATTTGGGAAATGCGTACTTACTTACTACACCCTTCATGAAATATGAAATATTCATTAAACAATTGTTAAGATTTTTAACTTTATGACTGTCGAACTTACTCTTTAAAGAAAGAAAAGAAAATAAAATACAATAGAATTAGGAAAGGGATTATAAACAAAAAAAATCGTTTACTTGACATACCTTGAATTAAAGATTTTATTGTTTCTTTTTCTGCTGAACAGAAAAATATAAAAAAACAATATTTTTTATTGTGTGCTCTTTATCGTAAATAATGGTTACTTTTTAAACTTCTAATGTTTTATTGATAAGAAGAAATATAAATTAAGGATTGTATCTACTTTATTCTACTTAAATAACCTAAAGCTGATATAATTTTTAAAAGACTGTTTATGAAATTAAAGGGAATTCAAAGGACTTAAATTTGAAGCAAGTTGGAGGGTTGGTTTTTATTCTTTTTTTACCACTAAAGTGGGAAGAATGTTATAAGTTTATTATGCTGTTTGTAAATATATCAAGTCAATTTAACGATGAGCGTCCAAATGATTTAGTGAAGTGTCTAGTCTACTATGATTAGGTTGCTTGAAACATATCTAGTAAAGGAACAATATACGTCACATACGAAAACCAAAAATCAATACCCCTATAATTTTGGAAACCATAATTAATGTCACCCATTTAATGTTTACTCTTACAAGCATTTTATAAAAGTGAATGACATTTTTGAAATTTTTCTCTTATCTCCACTAAAGTTGTTTACTGTCAATTACAGACTACAATTAATCTTCATTGAGCTCAAATTATATGCCAACCTGTCCGCTATTGACACAAAATACTTATTACTCCTATCAACAGTTTTCAGATAAATTTGCGGTTTTTACAGCTTGATTACCAAATAACCATTGTAATGTAATTAAAACATTGTGGCGTCTTTATGGTGATTTGTAACAAACTGCAGCCACATCAATTCAACGAGTATTTATGTAATGTGTCAAAATACTAATATTTGTATGTATTTAACATTAAATATGTATATGTATAGCAAACCAAACCAAATAATGTTTAAATAAGTTAGAAAGTTAAACATGATACGATCAAACGCAATGTGTCCATTTGTGGTTCACTTTGGTAGTAAGAGTTAGATGTTTTGATACATGGAACAAAAAAAATAAACTTAACCTAATTGTAACAAATATTATACAAAAATTCTATTGTGAAAACTCATTAAAATTTTAAAACGTCCACTGTTAACTATGTTTTTAAATTAAACAAATACTCGTTAACAAATATTTTACTTTATACTAAAACAACCATATAAAGTTTAACAAGTAAGAAAGTATAGTCGGGCGTGACCGACCCTATGATACCCTACACCAGTTATGAATATTAAATGTGATTTATTTTTCATAATAATTCATTGTTCCGATACATTTAAGCAATTTATGGATTAAAAACAAATTTTCTGAAAAAGGCTTTACATGGGGGCTAGGGGTAAGTATGGACCAAGCCCGATAAAGTTTTGTGAATATATTTATATTTATATAATATTTATTTGTGCTGAATTTCATCGCGATATTTGTGTTTATAAGTTAATTTTTGGACATTCAAGTAATTTTCTGAAGCGGACTTTGTATGGGAGCTAGGGTCAAATGAGGCCCGATCTTTATGAAATTTGGCAGGTCATCAAGGCTTGTATAAAACTTAGTTGTGCCGCTTTTTATCGATATACAGGCATATTTAACATAATTATGAGCTCAGAAGCCCTTTTCGGGGGTTCTGTTGTATGGGGGCTAGGTGAAATAATGGACCGATTTTAACCATTTATCGTCAAAATTGCGACCTGTACCTTGCACACAAGGTTTACATGGATAGCCAGCCGGCCAGACGGACGGACGGACATAGCTAAATCGACTCAGATAACGATTCTAAGCCGATTGGTATACTTTAAGGTGGGTATAGGACGAATATTTTTGTATGTTACAAACATCAGCACAAAACCAATATACCCTCCCCACTAAAGTGCTGTAGGGTATAATTATCATTATTTTGCAAACAAAATGCGAATAAACAAAAACAATGTTCGTTTATATAATTGTTGACAATGACAATTTGTTTATAAATATTTAAATACGAGTACAGAACGTCTACGGCTTCACTCGTATCATCAATGGCTGTTATTTGCATTAATCAGATACTCGAAACAGTCACTCGAAACACTGAAAATAACACAGTGATACAGCAAAAAAATGCAGGGGTTCTAATATACCAATTCCATTTCGTTATAGTCCATAGAGTAGGAATATATTTTAAATTTTTCCCGATCACTTCGTTTAGTTCCTTTTTAAGAGCAAAAGATGTGAAAAAGAGCTATTTTTGAAGGTTTAACTTTAAACAAATATATGTTTGGTAGTTTGCAACCGATTTTCAAATTGGATATTTTGTTTTAAAGATACAAGTGTTGTCTTTCAACCCAAAAAAATAAATCCAAAATTTATGATTAATGTCTTGGGTACGGCCATTTAAGTAAAAAAACTCACACTTTTTTCACAATTTTTAATTTTCATACTGCTCTACGTTGGCCATGAAGCAGTAACTTTAGCTTTTATTACATTTGAAAAAAGGCACATTATGTTGGGTTTCCAATGATGGTCAATTTATAATAATGGATGAAAAAGGTTAAGAGTTGTGCTAAGTTTTATAAAAATATTGCATATTTCTTCCATACAAAAACATTAATGTTTCTTTCTGGTTTTCTTTAAAACAAGTTTAAAAAATGTTTATAAAAATTTTTATACAAAAATTAATTTGTATGGAGAAAACCAAAAATTCGAGGAACATGCTATTAGAAAAAATTGCATAAATCATCCAGTTTTTCATAGATTTTTATGAAATAACAAGTTTTAGAAATCTTCCTTTATGTGATTCTTCAGGAAAGTAATAAAAGATGAACTCACTGCCTCATGACCAAAGTAGAGCATGATGAAAATGAAAATTTTTTAAAAAAGTGTGAGTTTTTTACTTAAACGACCGTAACTCAGACATTTGACCATACATTTTGGATTTCTTTTTTTGGATTAAAAGGCAACACTTGTAGCATTAAAAAAATATCGGATTTGAAAATCGGATGAAAACCACTAAACTTATGATTTTTCAAATTTAAAACTTCAAAAATGGCTCTTTTTCGCATCTTTTGCTCTTAAAAAGTAAGTTAACGAAGTGATAGGGGAAAACTAAAAATATATTCGTACTCTATGGACTATAACGAAATAGAATTGGTATATGAGAACGCCCGCATTTTATTTTTCTTCACTTTTGTATCACAGTGTAATCCATATTTAACTTTTACATTGTGTAATTGTACAGTTTTTTTGCGACACCTATACGTATACGTGTTAAAGATTTATTTATGCTACAAATATTAAGTATACGCCTAATTTAGAGAATCACTTGAAAGCAAACAAATCGATTTTTTTTAAGTTTTTTTTTTGCGATTTTGATCGTGAAGATGAATGTTACCCATTATTTTGCATCATAGCAAAATGTTTCGTACAATTTCGTATATATTACGAAACAATTTCGTGGTGCAAAACCAAGCAACATTTCGTATAATGGACGACATTTTTCGTATATGCTACTACACTGAAAATAATCTATGTCTAGATTATTTTAAGTGTAGTTGACAGTATTTCTTAACATTTAAATATATATATGGGCAATTTCATATCAAGTGAGCCAACTCAAAAAATCGATTTTGATGAAATTTTCACCAAGGTTAGTACTATTGGATCAAGCTAAGTTTTTGTGTTAAAATATCCAATCAGTATTGGTAAGGTATGTTATTTCCGAAATATCATTACTTCCAAGATACTTGGATCTAACTTCGACGAATGCCTGACAGTGGCAAAGAAAATGCTCCAGAGTTTCACTGTTCTCTCCACTTGTTCTCCCCACGTCGAAATTTTGCATGTTAGTCAGTTAGTTTGAAAGGAGGATGTACATATACATATACATCAGAACCCCAGGCCCACTTTATCCCCCAATTTAGAGTCATCCGTGTTGCAATGAATTCTTACTGGTATACGCTCTAATGTTCCTGGGATCAGCGTTTCAAAGTTTCTGACATATGCTGTGTCTGGTATGCGATCAGCCACGTCCTTTGATTGTGTCCAGTATACATTGATGACGTGTCCTATAATCGCTTTTGGCCAGTTTGTCTAAAGTAAAGAGCCGTTCGGCTGTAAGTGCCGCCTTATATCTTAAATATATTTCAATGGGAGGAATATCTTCGTTTCCAGAGCCTTGGTTGAAGTAGAACACATGGCACCACTTATATTCAAGCAGCATGTTAGCTGAACTCAATGTAGTAGTTTGATATTACATTTTTTGTCCAAAGCAGTCCACCTGATTATCGAAGCATAAGCTAGAATTGGTCTAATTACACATTTACATATAAAGCCAATTTGTCATAGTAGGTCTAAGACCCCATTTCATGCCTATAGTTTTCCTACATATCGCCCAGCATCTTATTTTCTAGGTATCTTCTTGCCCAGGAAGCAAAGTTCAGTATACGAAGAAATTTTTGCCTTTCTTGTGAAAAGATTCCTGTCTTCGTTGGGTTAACATTGGTTGAGCCCAGCTCAAGGCAGTATTCAGATCCTCCTCAGCTCTTCTACACAAGTAATTTTAATATGTCCACTAACAACATAGGTTAATCCGTCGATAGCAAACTGTATACACTGACGGTATGCATTGACATCGAAGGCGCCTTCAATAACCGACACACTGATACTCTTATCCAATCCCTAGACCAGTTTTATGTTGACCGGGTGCTCCATAACAGGATCAACTGCTAAGGAAGAGATGCATAAGCTGCGAGGTGTACGATATAACTATCAAGAAAAAGTTATTTCGCGGTATATCACAGGGTGGCATTTTGTCACCTTTACTCTGGATTGCCACGAAAAATAGCCTCCTAAAGACCCTAACCGAGAAAGGACTTATACCTGTTTGCTATGCAGACGATGTCTTAATATTTTTAAAAAAGAAAGCATACAAATTACTTATACATCCCACTAAGTGACAACAAAGCTCTTAAATGAAATGGTCTAAGCTTTCTTTTGAGCAAAAATAAAAATACTACAAAAACATCTATTTTGAAGACGCGTATATGATGGTCCACCTAGGTATTCATCGAGATTGTGGATTGATCGGGTGCGTTTTTAATTCGAACGGGACTGCTCAGCCTGCCGGGGTAGTATTGTTGCAGGATATTAGATAGCTCGAGTATTTCTTCAAAGTGTTTGTACATGGATCGTCAAAGCCATGTACAAAAAATGCCACCTGAGTATTCTTAATCGAAGTCACTCGGGGGCGCGTGGTAGACCGTTCTCACGTCTACCCAGTGGATGATAATGATCACAGTGAAATAAGCACACAGATTTTTTTACCTGGGGTTGAATCAAAGAACCTATTTGGTACCACAGGAACTCGTAGCTTACAGATCAGAGTGCATTGTCCTAGTTTTTAGAGAGGTGCCTTCGGTGGCTGTGGTTTTCTGATAAATGGTGTAAATAAATCGTTATAAATGGTAATGAATACTGATGGATAAAAGTGATACCATGTTTAGGGTTTACACTGTTTTTAAAAGACTTACTACAGTGTGAGAAAAAGCTTATCATTTAATGGATTCGTATTTCGGTCTACCGATTACGTCTCGAACTGTTGTTGGCGAATCAATAGGGACTATCTGAGATCAAGATTTTCAATCGCTGGTAGTGAAGTTTTTATTGTATTTCCTACATAAATTTGGTCCACGGGATACCCGGGACAACTAATGTAAATATCTTGTTAACTATAATTTTCTTCACTTTGCAAATTATTACGTTAGTTTGTTTCTGTATTTAAGAATAGCAAATACTCAATGCCATTAAGAGATTTCTCAGTGTTTGTGTGTGTGTGAAATATTAATTGAAACATAAAACTAACTTATTAGAAATTAAATTTTCCATTCAAGAGTATTTAATGCAAATTTCATTTTATATTTTAATTATGAGTTGGGAAAATGTGGTAAATGCACATTCAAAGTTTATAATTATAAAGCAAATTATGCCTATTGATGCTTTTAAGTATAAAGTCAAATATGTATGTAAATGAAGTAATTGAATTAACTATAAGAAGAATTTAAAATTAGACACTTTTTAAAAGCTAGTTTAGATATAGTTTTTGTTGGAATAATAACCATTATCAGACATTAAATAAAATGTCTGCAAATGACAAGTTTAATTTTAATATAACCTATAAAATGTCTTCTATATGAACAAAATCCTTTTTTGCTTAAACTTAGAATTTTTGAAAAGTAATTTAATTTTTCAATGGCTTGGAAAAATGTTGATGAATTTTCTTTTGTTTTCTTTTATTTAACAGAAAATAAACTATCAGACCAAGAGGCTTTAGAGGAAGTAAGACAATTGAGTATGCAATTGCAACGTATACAGGAAATGGCTCCACCCAAGGGTGTTGCTGTGATGACAATATCCAGTCTATTGGATGGTTTAAAAACTCCCAGTAGCATGGTGATGGTAGCAGCTGCGGCCTCCCAAGGAGCAGGCAGAAATCAATTAACTGTGCGTCCACAGAAGACGGAAGCGCTACCACTGCTATCGTTGAATACAGAAATGCAAAAATATCAACAACTACAAGTGCCACAAAAAACAATGACGACGACAAACAATAATGTTGCCGCTGTGAAAACCACACCAACCATAACATTGCCGTCCACCCAAGTAACAGTTACAACATCAACACCAACCAAGGCCAGCACAGACACAGGTCGTTGGGAGGAAAAGGCTGTAAATACCGAAATAATAGGCAATTGCATACCGGAAGAAGAGCTTAAAAAACGGCAACAGCAACAAGAACATATCATATGTCGAAGTTGCTATGAGAAATGTAAAGATCAACTGCATCACACTGACACTTCCGCCAAACTCAATAAATGTCAAATTTTGGGTTCGCCTCAACAAGAGGGCAGCATTAGTTTTAAGAATATTAAATTGGATTGTATGTGCTCCCAATCGGATGATCTGGATCAGCTTGCGGAACCGGAGCAACAAACAATAAGAAGAATAACAAAACGGACGGCAGCTACAAATACGCCACCCAGTACCACACGCAAACGAGCAGTTCAAACGACAGTGCAACACAGTAAAGATGATAAAGCCATCAGTTCTGTCAGTTTGCCCAGTGACGAGTGTCACAGCAGAGCCACAAACAAACCCATTAGTTATGTAAGTCAACAACAGCAACAACAACAAATTTGTGATAATTGTAAAAATAAATTCAAAAGAAAAGAATCTTTTGGAAAAGCAACAGTAACAGCTGCAGCTACAGCTGATAAAAAACAAAAGTCTCAGCAGCAGCTGCAACAACAACATAGAAAATTAAGTAGATTAAGCAGTAAATGTAATAAACTTATAGCCGATATTGAAAATTCCAAAGGAACAGCCAGCACAAAATCAGTGCTAACCAATAAACCAGCAACAAAAGCAACGACTACACATAAAACTTCCACAAAACTACAACCACATGACTGTGATGAAGAAACTCAATATTCCACCGATGATATAATTTTCTACACTACCACTGATACAAGCGACAGTGATGATGGTGATGATGACGACGGCGAAGAAGACGAAGACGACGACGATGAGACTGAAGATGATGAAAATGCCAATGCCATTAGAGATGATGATTTATCTTCCAGTCTATCACATAGTAAAAGTGAATCTCGGGTGCCACTAAAACTAAAGCCTCATACAGCCTCAATAGAACTCAAGTGCATATCATTATCATTGGGCAATATAACAACGACCAGTGCGACGGCCACAACAGCATCCACGTCCTCTACTCTACAGCCAGAATCAATAAAATCCCAAAATGCCTTAATAGAACCAAACTCCACTACTATACAGGTGACAACAGCAGCACCTTCAGCCTCTTCAACAACGTCTTCAACACAACAACAACAAACTGTGACTCAGTCGCAACAACAACCACCACCAACAAATGGTTCCAATGGCAAAGCCAAACGTCCTGACAAGCTGGTCTTAAATTTAAATGATCGTTCCAAATTTACCAAAGAAGTATCTGTCTGAGGTAGTAAAAATAATAATTTTTGGTTTCAATTATTGTAAGACAATTATTAATTATTTTATATTATAATTATGTATATTTAATTAAATTAGGATTTTTTTTGTATTAAGTCGATAATTAGTATAGGATTGAAGATGCTGGTTAATTATATAAAGTTTATATATGTATTAGGGTGAATTGCAGCCTTAACAATTATGTTGATTTCAATTAAAGAATTTTCCCAGTTCAAATTATAAAGCTTCATTAAAACTTATACTAAAGACAGATTTGATGCTTTTAATTTTAAAATACTAAATTACATTCGATACCGTTGCAACCCTGAAAACCGGTTGCAATATATTATAACATAATCTATCCAAATGTGATAAATCGTTATATTTATAAATGATCAAAACCAGTTTAGTGATCTGTCAAGAAGTTAGCTGCCATACTGTCTTCGATAAGTACCTTTTCCCTCTCCTATACTCGGTCTAGTAACACCAAGATGGACTTTGAACACCGATAGAAGTAGTTACCGCCACCAAAGTCATTTAGTTTATATAATAGTGCACCATGCCGAAATCTATCAAACGACTTGGAAATATCTAGAGCAACCACTTTACTTTTGTCAAAAGTAGCTCAACCGTACAGCGACCAAATGCTCAGTTCAAGTTTCAACGTCTTTGCTATTTCGCCAAATTTTGAATGCTTTCTCTCTAGATCTGATAGCAATTTTGCACTTTTGATTAAGCCAAACCTTTTGCTTTGTATCTAATCGATAATTTTTTCATTGGAATGAATATTTTCATTACCAGCATGATTATGTCCTCGATCATTTTCACCACGGCAATTAAAAGGCCGAACGAAATCGTTGTGTACAGCCCAGCGTTCCTATCTGTATATAAAAGTTGACCCTTTCGCAGCTGATAAAACGTTGCGATGTCTGGAGAGTAAAAAGTAGGCAAAAATGATTCATCCGAATTACAAAGAGATGCTTTAGGTATGAAGTGATTAGAAAAGTTTAACTACGACTGATCAAAACAATGACGACTGATCAAAACAAATTTCCTATACTATCATTCTTCAAAAATTATTAGAGTATATGATCCATATAGATATTCCCAGAACTACATTATTGGAGTTAAGTACTTCTATGTAATGCAACATGGTCCATAACCTGCATTATATAGGACCATGTTTCAGATCATGTGCTCCCATGGATTTCGAGGTTCTCACTATAAATTAGATTAGTTTTGGACCAGTCCTAGTGCTTTGAGTTCAGTTCTAGTTTAGTTCTAATTCAGTTCTAGTTCAGTTCTAGTTCAGTTCTAGTTCAGTTCTAGTTCAGTTCTAGTTCAGTTCTAGTTCAGTTCTAGTTCAGTTCTAGTTCAGTTCTAGTTCAGTTCTAGTTCAGTTCTAGTTCAGTTCTAGTTCAGTTCTAGTTCAGTTCTAGTTCAGTTCTAGTTCAGTTGTAGTTCAGTTCTAGTTCAGTTGCTAGTTCAGTTCTAGTTCAGTTCTAGTTCAGTTCTAGTTCAGTTCTAGTTCAGTTCTAGTTCAGTTCTAGTTCAGTTCTAGTTCAGTTCTAGTTCAGTTCTAGTTCAGTTCTAGTTCAGTTCTAGTTCAGTTCTAGTTCAGTTCTAGTTCAGTTCTAGTTCAGTTCTAGTTCAGTTCTAGTTCAGTTCTAGTTCAGTTCTAGTTCAGTTCTAGTTCAGTTCTATTTCAGTTCTAGTTCAGTTCTAGTTCAGTTCTAGTTCAGTTCTAGTTCAGTTCTAGTTCAGTTCTAGTTCAGTTCTAGTTCAGTTCTAGTTCAGTTCTAGTTCAGTTCTAGTTCAGTTCTAGTTCAGTTCTAGTTCAGTTCTAGTTCAGTTCTAGTTCAGTTCTAGTTCAGTTCTAGTTCAGTTCTAGTTCAGTTCTAGTTCAGTTCTAGTTCAGTTCTAGTTCAGTTCTAGTTCAGTTCTAGTTCAGTTCTAGTTCAGTTCTAGTTCAGTTCTAGTTCAGTTCTAGTTCAGTTCTAGTTCAGTTCTAGTTCATTTCTAGTTTAGTTCTAGTTTAGTTCTAGTTCAGTTCTAGTTCAGTTCTAGTTCAGTTCTAGTTCAGTTCTAGTTCAGTTCTAGTTCAGTTCTAGTTCAGTTCTAGTTCAGTTCTAGTTCAGTTCTAGTTCAGTTCTAGTTCAGTTCTAGTTCAGTTCTAGTTCAGTTCTAGTTCAGTTCTAGTTCAGTTCTAGTTCAGTTCAAGTTCAGTTCTAGTTCAGTTCTAGTTCAGTTCTAGTTCAGTTCTAGTTCAGTTCTAGTTCAGTTCTAGTTCAGTTCTAGTTCATATTCTAACTTAAATCAATGCTTCTCAGAAAAATAGTTCGAAAGTTTTTTCCAGTATACTTGAAAATTTAATAGATATGATATTACAACTCGAATTCTGATCGGGTATTTATGGACTAAAACTGGAATTATACATATTTTTGACATTAACCTCACAATACAATCATATGATATCAAGGAGTCCATGAAGTAAAAAAGCTGTTGGAATCCCTGTGTTAAATAGTATTTTAATATCTTTGAGCAATTTAAAAAAAATTAAAAATTTATTTAAATAATTTATTTTCGAAATTTCAGACATTGCAAAATATCAAATCTAAAAACATTCAATTCAATCTTTGAAATGAAAATTTACAATTATTATGAAGCTTTTAATGGAACTGAGGGAAAATTTAAAAACAAATTAATATTTTCCATTAACTTTAATATTTAAGTAATTATATATTAAATCGTTTTCTTTATCTAACTTTTTTATAATTATTATTTATTCTATAATAACTAACACTTCTTTACCAATGAAAAATCCAAGTTCAGTTAAAGCAAATATTTAAGAAAAAAAATTTATGCAATTTGTAATGAGCCCCAAAGTGCATAAATTAACGAAATAAATTTAAATTAAAAATATTACTAAAAAAAACTGAACATCATTTTACATTGTTTAACAAGTGTTGAAAACATTTCAAATGGTTTAATTTTTAATATATCATTTCAGTATTATTTCTGTAATTTGATTGTATGTTTTTTTTTTTGTTCATGAACAAAACTTTATGCCAAAAAAAAAAAAATAAAAAAAAAACTTATAGAAAAATGTGAAAAAAGAGAAAAAACATACATATTTACAGGATTCACAGTTTAAAAATCAACAAAGCATACTTTCAGGAATTTGCCTGAAAATATTTTACTGTTGGTATTTGGTTTAATTTTTGTTGAAAAATAAATTGTATGGTATATTTTATAAATTGTTTAAAGTATATGAAATAAATATTTACATTTGCTTTAAAACGCTTACTTTCTTGCTTACAGAAGACTTGATTTTCATAGGCTATATAACGGCGTTTTCATTTTAAATATATTATAATAAAATTAATCTCTTTTTGAAATTAGTATTTAAAACTTTTATTACAACTATCATGTTTAATTGTTCTACGTACAAATTCCACAAACTACGATTACAATTAACAAATTTAAATTTCTATATGCAATAAATGTAATTTATATGTAAAAACATATTCATACATTAGCTTAAAATAATCTCCTATTTTAGAACTTTTTCCATTCTATTGTTAACTGAATATTTTGTTTGTTTTAGAGCTTAATAGAAATGTATGTAGAAATTAATTTAGCAGAAGTAAAATAAACATTGTTAAGTTTACACATTTTAAAAAATTATATAAATATTAAATTTGTTAACGGCAACTTTTCGAGGAAGAGTAGTTTTGTTATAAAAGTTAATTTTAGGAAATATTGTAATATTAGTTTTGCGTATAATGTGTTTATATATGTACACAGAGGGAAAAAGAAATATACACTCCTGTTACCAAATTGACACCAAACTGTTTATAATTTTTCAATACCATCCGTTGTCAAAGTATATACATACGTGCGATAACACTATGTAATGTTGACAACATTGTACACATCCGTTGTCGAAATCTAAATTTTTAGAATTGTTGCAATAACACTATGTATATACTTTGACAACGCAACGTTGTCAACATTACATAGTGTTATCGTACGTATGTATATACTTTGATAACGGATGTTATTGAAAAATTATTAACTCTTTGGTGTCAATTTGGTACCAGGCGTGTATATTACTTTTTCCCTCTGTGTATAATATTGTTGTACGAACGTACGTTTATATACTTGGATTGAACAAGAAAAAGTTTAATTCGAAAAAGGCATTCGAATACCACGGACATTAAAACCATGTTGCCGCACAAAGGCCTGCTTTACAGGATACTTCTTGTTTACTGGAAAAGAGTGTCACTATCTGAAATCCTAATCAAATATGCAAATAGTAAAGGTGATAAATAACGCCCTGCACATCAAACTGGTTTATAAATTACAAAATATTTTAATAATGCCTTAAAGTAGGCTATGAAATGTTAGGCAACATTTATGAAATGTTACATTTTTAACATAACTAACAAATTTAAGGAAATTAAGTTGTTTTATTGCAACCCAGAAGTTCTGGTGGACAGAGCTAAACTACCCTAGCCACCGACTGCAAAGGAGACTAGCAATTTTAACATGAGCAAGTCAATCGTCAATTCATCGATTACAGAGAGGCAGTGAGCATTTTTACATATATATATTTTTTTTTTTTTTTTTTTTTTTTTGAAGAGCGTCTACTCTATACATTACTTGAAGGCACTAAAGTAACGACTGTCTCCACTCTTACCCTCAAAGGGACACTAATGTAACAATTGTATTCACATTCGTTTACAGAGGAAACACTAATTAGAGCCAACCTGGCGGTTAGATGTTAGTGGAAGTTATAGATTTTCAGTTGCATTGGCTCTCTGTCGAACTGCTGGGTATCTATACTTTAGAAATTGTGGACAATTTTTTTGGATTTTCAAAATTCTTCGAAATTTTTGCTTTACTTTTGGTAAAAGTGCAGAATAAAGACCTTTTTTTCTAGTTGCTGTTTCATAACTTTTTACGTAAGGAACCAATTTGGTTGAATTTCAACATCAACAATGATGAATATTTTGACTAATGCTTCGTTTTAACGTGAGAGTATTCCACACAGACAGACGGACATACCAAAATCGACTCAGAATTTCATAAGGACTTTCGCAGGTATCAGATGAATATTTCTTAAGTCAGTGAATGACGAACTTATATCTACCACTAATGATGATAATGTCCATAGACGTTATTGTACACCTGAAAATATCACAATATCCAAGAGGATATTGACATAAATTCCATGTGTTACAAATAGTTCATATTTCAGGAAAAAGCAAAATTTCCAGGAGCTGAAATATCGCAGAGTTTGAAATCCATAAGACCAGCTTTACAGGAATTAAATATACAACATACAGAAGTACCACCAAATGGCTTATGTCACGGTGGTAGTTTTTTAACCACAGGGTGAGCTAGAAGCGACTCACCATCGCTCCTTTGTATCTTGCAAAGAACACACAGATGACAATTTTTGTACATGGTTCCTCCGGTCCACGTACAAGCACGTACGAGTACATGAGCTATCTAATATCTGACCATTGCTACGCCTTTACTAACTCCTGTTATGCAAAAACTTCACTTCCGATTACAATCACACAGGTACGATGGTCCTTGTTGATTCGTAAATAGCACCTACACACAGAAAAAAACATGGTTGGGGTAACTATGTTCTAAGAGCATCATATTATGGTTAAAATTATGATTGTAGTCTAAACATATCATGATTAAATACTATAAATAACATTGTCATTTGTAAAAATAATAATGTTTCAGTGAATCATATTCAAATTTTTAATTGACATGAACATGTTTACAGTAAATAAAATATTTTTAAAGTCTTTTAAAATAACAATTATATGTTATTGATAACAATATATTTTGCAGTGAACATAGTATAATTGTAGTAATCATGTCGATCCATGTTGATCCAGAAGTAATACGTATGCCGAAAAACGAATTCACCAAATAAGGCAAAACAAGTTATTACTCACGGAAAACACACTGGGTATTCTGTATCTTATTCATTTGACACTAACAAATTTAAAATGCTTAGCACTAAAGTCACTTTCCCGAGTGGTATTCGCTGTCTTTTCGGCAATCTTATCCCGAAATATAGATTTCATCCCGAAGGCACAAGACAAAATCTGAAACTCTGACTTATGGGCTAACGGTTTCCGTGGTACTTGATATGTCAGGTGCTCTGGTTCGAAACCTGGTCAAATATTTCCAAGAAAAGGCCGAGGATACATTTGTTATCAACAATTTTTAGACCTGGCAGACTAGAGGTACTGGTAACACCTCCTTTATCCCGCGATTGCAATCACATCAACATAGGGAAAGTTTCTGAAATTATAATTAAATATTCCAATACATTTCGGTATTAAAAGTGCCATAGTGTCCATGGGCATTACGAAGAGCGCTCCATAAGTGCAGCTTTTTTCTAAACTTTTCTATAATCGTTACTGGACGAGAAACATGCAGAGGATCAGTTAAGATAGTGGTATAATAGGGAAAGTTGTAATTACAGGCATGCTTTGTGTCTTTAATTTATACATGAAAACATAAGAATCTCAATGTCACGATCTCAGTCATTCATCTTTTCGGGTACAGATTTGGAAAATGTTTCCTAAGAAATTGTTCCCTTGGCCGTATTCTGTAGTCAAGATCGAAATGTTTAAGGAACACTTTGTTTCCAGTCCCGGGACAAGGATCATGACACTACTATTACTGTCTATTGAAAGCTCGATAGGGCCCAAACGGGATGAGATTAGTATTTGCAAAATTCCACATTTTGTTTGCTATCGAAGAGAGACTATCGGTCATAATTTAATTTTGACTCCATACATTTGGCCCTAAGTACCCATATACATTAGGTCAACATTGGAAACCTTAACTTTTTATACTCTCGATCAACATTAGTGGTGATAGTGAGTATATATAAGTTTGTCATTCCGTGTGCAACACTGAGAAATATTAATCGTAGACCCAACAAGGTATATATATTTTGGGTCCTAAGTGAAATTCTGAGTGGATTTAGCTATTTCCGTCTGCCTGTCTGTGTAACGTTAAAACTAAGCAAAGGAAATTCATTGAAAATATTTGTTGTTGTCTTAAGCAGTTTGGTATTAGATATCATCGGTTCATGACGTAAAAAGTTATGAGTTAAAATTTAAGACTACCTCGAAAAATGTTAAGTTCTTTTTCTCAGTTCTAAAGTAGTTTTCCTAGAAACTACAAAAGACATTTCGATGAATTTTGTCACACATTATTTTTTCTACGAGAGATCAAGTATGTTCAAAATCATAAAAATTTATCCAAAATTTCTCATAGCCCCCATACAAAGGTATATATTCCCGGAAATTAGTTTATCGTTAATAACTCCCTTAAATATATCAATAGAAAATTATGTACTTGTAAATATAATATGAACAGAAATCATACTACCAACGTAATTCTGTATCGGTCCACAATTGATCTTAGCCCCCATATAAGGTCCAATTCTGAAAAAAACTTAAACGCACATATTTCCTTGTCAAATAAAGCTATCCGCATAAAATTCGACACAAATGTGTTTTGTGTACATATGAATTACTCTACGAAATTCCGGAAAGGCCCGTAATTGGTTATAAAGTCCACTTCCGAAAATCACTTAAACGGACATATTTCATTGATTAATAAAGCTATTGGGATAAAATTCGACTTGAATTTGTTTTATTCTATTAAAATGTTTTCGAACTGGCCTGTTATTAGTCATAGCTCCGACATATAATGACCTAAGTCCACAATTTACCACATATTGGATGTTGGGTGTTAATCAGAGATACAAGTCGATGCAAAATGATAGGGGGCGGCGGCGCGACTATTTTAGGTCGGTGCCGGCGCCTTATTATAGAAAATATCGGCGACGGCTAAATTGTCGGATCAATTTATAAGCGTTTTTTATATTGAAAAATCTCTGTATAATAGTATATTATATAGAAACCTGTCTCTATATAAGTTTTTTCTGCAGAAAATTGACATTATTATAGTAGTTATTACTATTTTAATATTAGCACAATATTGTGTGGCAACTCTTTTCAATTTGCATACATGTGCAATTCTAATCTTTATCAGCGGTTACGTTTAAGCCGGCTTAGCTTTTGAGCCGATAGAAGTCGGCGGCGGCGCGGTTTGCAAAAGATTACCGGCGGCCAGTCGCTACCGATTTGAGCCGTCTCGGCTTGTATCTCTGGTCTTAATATAGCTGAACATAACACTCTTTCTTCCTTTTTTGTATGAAGTTTAACCAGATTAATAATTTCCTATTTTTATAACGAATCAGGGTGTAGGAAGCAATTAAATGTTTAAATGATTAATAAACAATTTAAACGAATTCCTTTAACTTATCATAACAATTTTATAAAATTTAATTTAAAAATTAAACCAAAACAATACAAACTGTGAAATCCTTAATATTGTGAATAAAAAAAAAATGTTTTCATTTTGTAAATAATTAATTATAAATTAAAACTGTAAATGGTACTACTAAATATATGTTTTACAATTGTTTGTTGTGGATAATTATTTCATTAATTAAATAAATATTTTGTTTTAAAAATAATAAGAAAAAAATATTTGTTATGCTTTTCCAGTAATTAATTTGTTAAATAAAAACTATTAACTATTTACCTAATAATAAACTAAAAATAAACTAACAACAACTGTAGTAATTTAATATTGAAATTAAATGAAAAAAACAAAAAAAAAAAATATTTACATATCTTAATATTTAGTATAGAAAAATAAAGTTAAATATAAAGTAGTTTAATTTAG